CACCACCATTCTCAAAGTATCGTTATTCGAACTAATGAAAGGACAAATTTTTTATTCTACCAATTATTGGTTGATGCCTCTTTTAGCTGGCTGTACGTGGTTCTAATTAACAATGACGATTTTGCTACAGATGATGATTTGAGATATAATATTTTTAGTAGAAAAACGGAGTTTGAAAGAGGAGTGAAAGGGAGCGAAGAGGAGTGGGAGAGCGGGTGAGTTTGGCCTCTGAAGCGTCAAAATTATGAATATAATTTTTAGTGAAAACACTCGGGGCGATACAGCAAAGCAGTCGGGTGAAATGATCGACCAGGCACGATTTAGGCATCATCAACAGCGGAGCAAATTTAAGGACGCTATTGACTATCTTGATCAAATTTTTGAAGATCTCAAAAAAGAATGTGATTTACCGGTTCGTGTTTACGGTTAATTTTAGTGTTCATCTTACAGTAGCAGTCAAATGAACAAACTGTTCAACTTTTTTTTTCTTATTTAATCGGTACTACTGGTTCACATTGGCTTTATCGGTTGTAAACGTTGGTTGTTGATATCGAGGATACACTGAAAGCATTTGTTATTATTATTATTATTATTATTATTATTATTATTATATATTATTATTATTATTATTATTATTATTATTATTATTTTTCATTATTATTATTATTATTATTATTATTATTATTATTATATCAATGATATTATAATAACAGTAATACCAATAACTAATACTCTATTATTATTATTATTATTATTAAAATCATTTTTATTATCATTATTATTAACATGATTCTTACTATTATTACTAATTTTTTTTTTTGCCTTTTTTTAGCAGAGCAAACCAAAGTCAATACATCGGGTACGATCATCAACGGTGTCGAATAAACCAACACCAGCTGTAAAACCGTTAGCACAACAGCATATGTCAACAGCGCCTCAAAATCGGGTCTTTCCAACTACAGAATTCAAGTAATCATTTTTGTTGTTGTTGTTATTGTTGTTGTTGTTGATAATAATAATAATGATAATAATATACCGAATACCGTTCCTTACTAACTGTATTATATTAATTGCAAAAGAAAACAATTTTGATAAGGTAAATGCATAAACTTTTGTTACAACTTATGAATCTACCAACTGATCATTTATAATAATATTTTCTGACGGAGCTACTCACCGTCTTTTTTATCTCTGTTAAACATTTGCTAAAACTGAGCAATAAAAATCTTTTTTTTTTTTTTTTTTTTTTTTTTTTTTTT